CAAACTTGTGGTTAGCAGTACAGTGCTGATACCGTTGTTATTGTTGTTAAGTGCTGTCGGGTCAGTTCTGACTCATAGAGCAACTCTGTATAGGGTTTCCGAGGTGAAGCTAGTGGGTTTGAACCACTAACCTTGTAATCTATGGCCTAAAATCTGCATTAAGTTGCAATCCAGTGCTTATCCTACAATGTCATACCAGGACACCAGCTATACCACTGTTGTTATTAAGTGACGTCAAGTCAGTTCTGACTCATATCAACCTTTTATAAGGTTTCCAAGGAGCAGCTGATAGGGTTGAACTGCCAACTTTGTGGTTTGCAGTCCAGTGTTTATCCTACAGTGCCACACCAGGAGTCCCTGGCTATACCATTGTTGTTGTTAAGTGCCGTCAAGTCGATTACTACCCATAGCGACCCTATATAGGGTTTCCAAGGAGAAGCTGGTGAGCTTGAACCACCAACCTTGCAGTTCAAATGACTTTGCAGTCTGATGCACACAGGGCCACACCAGGACTCCGTCTATACCATTGTTATTGTTCTTAGGTGCCATTGAGTCGGTACCGACTCATAACGACCTTATGCACAGCAGAATGAAACACTGCCCGATCCTGGGCCAACCTCACTACTGCTGCCATGCTTGAGTCCACCGATGCTGCCACTTGGCCAATCCGTCTCGTTGGGGGTCTTCCTCTTAGCCCACAGCGCCACACCAGGACTCCGGCTATACCATTGTTGTTGTTGTTGTTGTTAGGTGCCATCAAGTCGGTACTGACTCATAGTGACCTTATTATGCACAGCAGAATGAAACATTGACCGATCCTGGGCCAATCTCACTACTGCTGTCATGCTTGAGTCCATCGATGCTGCCACTTGGCCAATCCATTTCGCTGGGATCTTTCTCTTTTTCACTGACCCTCTCTACCTTACCAATTTGTTGTTTTAGTTAAGTGCCATTGAGTTGGTTCCGACCCATAGCGACCCTGTACAGGGTTTCCGAGGCTGTAAATCTTTACTGGAGCAGAAAGCCTCATCTTTCTCCCGGGAGCCGCTGCAGTTTAGAACTGCTGAGCTTAAGGTTCACAGCCTGATTGGTAACCACTAGGAGCTCTGGTAGCGTAGTGGTTACGAATCGGGCTGTGAACCTTAAGGTCAGCGGTTCAAAACTACCAGCTGCTCCGCGGGAGAAAGATGAGGCTTTCTACTCCCGTAAAGATTTACACCCTCGGAAACCCTGTACAGGGTCGCTATGGGTCGGAACCGACTCAACGGCACTTAACAAAACAAAACATGCTATCAGAGCTCCTTACCAATTAGGGGGATGCAAATCAAAACTAGTAAGATAGTACCTCAGTCCCATTAGAACAGCTAAGGTATATGTTTGAAAAAAAAAAATGGAAAACAACAAATGTTGGCAAGGATGTGGGGAAATGGGAACCCATATCCATTGCTGGGAGTCCTGGTGTGGAGCTGTAGGATAAGCACTGGACTGCTAACCATAAATTCAGTAGTTCAAATCCACCACCTTCTCCTTGGAAAACTCTATACAGGGTTGCTTAACAATATTTATTGTTGGTAGGAATGCAAAATAGTATAGCCATGGTAGAAAGCAATCTGACAATTCCTCAAAAAGTCAAACATAAAACTATCATGTGACCCAACAATTCCACTCCTAGATATATAACCATGCAACCTGAAAGCAGCAACAGACATGTGTATACCAATGTTCATAGCGGCACTATTCACACTAGCTAAGAGGTGAAAACAACCTATCAATGGATAAATAGATACACAAAATGTGGTACATGCACACAATACGATATTGCTCAGTCAAAAATAAAGATAAAGTCTTGACACATGCTCCAACACAGACGAGCCTTGAAAACCTTATGCTCAAGTCAATCATAAAAGGACAAAGATCGCATGATCTCACTTTTATGAAATCACGAAAATAAGTAAGTGTATAAAGACCACAGTTTATTAGTGGTTACCAGGGGCGGGGGTGGGGGGGAGAGAAAAAGAGAAACCACTGAAGAAGCAGAGAAAATTTCTGTTATGGTAATGGGAATGTGGCAGCAATTGTGAATGACGGGTACACAAAATCCTTATTGATAAGACTTCTAAATTGCACACCTGAAAAATGTTGAATTGGCAAACGTTGTGTTCATTTACCTTTATGACAATTAAAAAAAGAATGGGCTAAAAATCCATAAAAATAACATGACATGTATCATAACTTTGGACAATTTACTAATCCTTTCTGAGCCTTAAAATTCATCTGTAAAACAGGCTTAACTGTCTCAAGCCTTGGCTATGAAATATTCATGCTAGAACACTGGTTAACACTGTAATATACTATAGGCAGGTAAGATCTTGTTGTTGTTGTTAAGTGCTGTCAAGTCGATTCCAACCCACTGCAACCCTGTATAGTGTTTCCAAGGAGCAGCTGGTGAACTTGAACTACCGATCTTACAGTTCAAATGACTTTGCAGTCTGACACATTAGCCCACAGAGCCACACCAGGGCTCCAGGTAAGATCTTAGTAAGTAATATTATCACAAGAGCTATCCTATCAGTCTTAACCAAGGGTTAATCCTTCATATCCTGAATGCAGATTTTAAACCATAGATTACCTTTATTTGTAAGATCCTTAAAAATTTACACTGGAAAAAAAACAGAACAGCTTCCTCCATATGAACCACATATGCTGCCTGTAAATCACTTTCATCTCCAAATTAGTAGGATCCAAATTAGTAGGGCTTTCCTACAGTGAAATCTGTTTAAGCAAACATCTGCTGGTTCCCTAGAAAGTGATTTCCCCACCTCACAGGTGGCCTTTGAATTTCTTGCCTGAAATCCATGCACAGAAAATGTAGCCTTTCAGACTGGAGTCTTTGGAGAGAGGTAGTGTCCTTGAGAGCTTAGGTCTCCTTAGTTGGGGAGAAAGTGTGCAGAAATGGAACTCGACTCCAAGCCAGGAAGTGCTGGGATTTAACGAAAGTGACAACGACTGCTTCATCATTGTCAGGGTGATACTGATTGAAAGGACACATTTTTCCTGTTATTAATCATCTTAATTAAGACATAAAAGGAAGCATATGTTTTAGCTGAATCAAGGCCCATTTTCTGTTTTCTCAATTACTCAGTTTTTAGGGCAGCGGGAAAGGAAAGACACAAAATGTAATCCCAAATCCATGGATTCTGCCCTTAGCCTTACCCAAGATTGCCCAAGTGACCTTGGGCAAATCGCTGAGGGCAGATATTTTTTTCAGTGTCTGCATCTAAGATAGACACAGCCCCCTTTAGAGGTCTGATGAATACTCAGCAGATATTAGCCTAGTCATCCAATGACTAAACTGACACTGGGACGCCTGCTGGTACAGACCAGCAGGTACAGGCGTTTTTTTCCCCTCTCAAATAGTAGGCTAGTTATTTCTTGGCTTTGATCTAAAATTAAATTATATCTATTCAAAAAGGGAGCTAAGAAGCCAAGAGTATCTTATTACCTTTTTTAGCATTATAGGAAAATGGCTTTATGGACACCTGTCACTAAAAAGGAAAATAATAACTGAAAAGAATATATTTCAATATCACAAAAGCCAGTCAGTCATCCCAATTCTGATGTTGCAGTGAAATGCAAGAGCAGGGGGACCAAGAGAAGGACATGAAGCACCTGGGCTGGCTGTTATAAAAGCAGAAAGGACAAAGCCACAAGGCCACAGCCTCCTTTCTCCACAACTCCCAGACTGCAGTGATTTCTCTATGAAAAGACTTTCAGCCAACCTGACAGCTCAGGGGGTCAGGGGGCACAGAGCCTGCAGAACTGAGTTACAAGCCTGGGGGAACACCAGCAGAGAGATTAAAGTGGGACTTTCTCTATAGGTGTGGTGCTGGTTCTCAGAACAGCTTGAAATGAGGTCATCAAGACCATGGCTAGTCAAAACTGTGGATCATAAATTCATTTAAATAATTGCAGTCAAGTACCACAAAACGTCCATTTGGCAACACCCCACTACAAATATCCACCACTCATCTGTCAGTTTGTCGTACTGTGGTGGCTTGTGAGGTGCTGTGATTCTGAAAGCTATGCCACTGGTATTTTAAATACCAGCAGGGTCACCCATGGTGGATGGGTTTTAGATGAGGTTGGCCCAGGATCGGGCAGTGTTTTGTTCTGCTGTGCATATGGTCGCTATGGGTCAGTACCGACTTGATGGCACCTAACAACAACAACTACAAATATACCCATGGTCCCTACCTCATAAAGTCTATTATATAAAAAATCCTAAGTACAAAGTTCATAATAACAAATGGGCACTACTTTGCAACATGCACCAAAACATTTCTATTATTATTACTGTATTATTATGTTGAAGACAGAGTGTCTGGAAGTGTTTAAAGTCTTCAATGTTTTTTATGCATAGAAAGGTAATACTCTGTACTAAGACAAACATCTGACTAACTGACATTAGATACGAATCATATCTAACTGTTCTGGCTTACATACAAATTCAACTTAGAGAGATACTTAGGAATGGAACTTGTTCATAATTCAGAGGCTACCTGTATGTAACATGCATTTCACACAATGTCCAAATCACATACCGTACAAACTCAAAGAATGCATCATGGACTTTAAGTGATGCATGATGGCAATAAACAGAGGGAGAGACTGATCCAGTGAATATAGTTGACCACATGTGAAAAATGAAATTATATAGAATATTCATTAAGCTATATACTTCTCATTTGTGCACTGTTCTTTATGTATGCTATGTGTCAATGAGATGCTTTATAAAAAAAGAAGAAAATGACCATGTTATTTATACATACACATATTCTTGCAAGATTACACTACCATGGTTCCCCAGGTTCTCAAATCTATAACATCTCAAGCTGGGGCAAGTCTCTTTGAAGTCCTGCATACACAAAGAAACAGCAGACAGGAGAGATTCTGTGACACACATTCATGCCCAGAAATATGTTTTTCTTCTTTGCGCTTACCTTGGCCTGGACAGCGTAAGAAGCCAGGAGCACAGAAGCCTCAGGAGGACAATAGATCTTTTCGTCTAGAATCTGCTTCTTTACCTGAAAGGGTCAACAAGGGAGACACGAAACTGTGAGTGTGGAAGGGAGGCGTGCAGGCCAAGCACAGCAGATGGCTGAAGGGTGTTCTAATGAGGGCTGCCAAACCAGCCTGTTAATAATTTTCTGACAAAGGGCACAATTTTTACTGATGCAGACGGGTTGAGAGTTCAGTCACTGAGAAGTCATTGGTAAGATGGCTGAGCGTAAAAACCCTTTATGGCTTCTCCTCATGATCACATGTGGAAGAGTGAAAACAATCTTTGTGGTTAAAACACAGAGTAATATCTGGGCTGTGACAGAGAAGAACTGTGAACTCGAAGAGTGTCAGGAGCAGCTCGGTGGTGATTGCAGCCATGGTCCCTGCTGAGAACACTCAGTACTAGAGGAAACGGAGTCTGCTTTTAAGTCTTAACACAAGTCGCCAGGGCCACTGAGTTATGACTGCGGGAAAACCAGCCCTTCTCTGTGCCTTTGCCTAGGAAGAAGGAAGCAATCAAGTTTGATCGATTTAACATCTAAGTACATGTGAGGTCCAAGAAATATAATTTGTAAGCCATACTGTGGAGTTCACATATCTCACTGCTCTTAATTTCTCAAGAGTGGTGCAATGTGTGATGCTCCTGACACAATGACAGGAGAGCCTCATGAAGTGGTGGCACTCTAAAATAAATACAACAGGAAAGCTAATTCTCTCTTCACGGATGTTAACAGTCACTGAGATTCTTGCTCAGCCACAAAAATGCTCCAGTACTTCAGTATGAATAATTCAGGCCAAAGTCATAGAAGAGATAGACAGTGTGGCTAAGCCTTTGACAAGAAAGTCATTCCCATAACTCTAGGACCTTCTGGGGTCTACCAGTACCAGTTGCCTTCAAGTCAATTCTAACTCGTGACAACTCCACAGTATGGCAGATTAGAACTGTCCTTCACATGGCTTTCATGGCTATGCAAAGCTGGGTAGGTTCAAACCACAAACCTTTTGGTTAGTAGTCAAGTGCCTAACCATTTGTACTACCCAGGGAAATCATTGTGATTTCATTCAAAGACAAAAAGTCTTCCCAAGTTTGAAAACTGATTTTATGTTCCTATGGAGAAAATGAAATCAGAGATGTTTCTGAAATCATGTAACTTCCTAATCTTTGTTTTTTTTAAAGGGGGTTGGGGGAGAGCAACACCATAGAAAAATTAAAATTGACCTGAAAAAGTTGGAAAGAATATTTATATATCAAACATGTTTTGTAAAAAAAAATTTTTTTTTGAGAGATTTATTACATTTAACTTAACATTTACTGAACAAAATATACTTAGGCTCAAACTAATTATAGTAGATCTACATGGTAGGCAACACAGCCACTTCTGGGAAATAGTAAAATTAAGCACTGCTGCCACAATCTTTTATGTTACTGGCAGCAGGCATCTTTAGGCACACAAGACAGCCACGGTGCCAATCACAGTAACTAAGCATGAAATCGAGGACTGGCTCTGACCAAGCAGTAAGAAAACAAATGAAACAGACAGAGCTTTTATCCTCAAACTATACCCCTCCCCACCCCACCAGGCCCCCAGACAGTAACTAGCTGTCTTTGAGCCTGTAATTATGGATCTCCTAATTTCTTCAATTCAGTTGAGCAATTACTTATGGAATGCCTACCGTGCACTCAATGAGCCTTGCCTTTAAGGGACTTATAATCTAATGCGGGAGTAAGGGGGAAATAAGACAATTATAGACAAAAAGTAGCATGAAGCACAATGTTTGAAGTACCACATGCATGGCATAAACTAAGTGTCATGGGGGTTCTGAGAAGCTCTGTCTTAATGGGAGCAGATTGTGAACTTTCAGGAGAATTGGTGCTTTATAAGAATCTTTCTAACCTTCCTTGGCAACAACTGAGTACACATCTCTTCAGCCAGAGGCAAACTGGCTCCATCTTCAAAGAGACTTTAAGTTAGGTAGCTACTTGCAATCATTCTTTCACTATTACACTTTTGCAATTTCATGTGACACCGATTCTCATCACTCAAGACTAGTTCTAGTCTAAAGATTTTTCCATTATAGAACCAAAGGAACTGATTTTCTGTATTTTTTTTTTTTTTTTTCCTCACAATGTGAAAACGTTTGTGGTCACTCAACTCCAAGGAGCTCTCCCAGGTCTACTCTGCCACATGCCTAGGGAATCCTCTCAGAATTTGGAGGGTAGCATAGACTGATGTACCTGCAAGAAGAATAAATGTTGTGTGATCTCCTGAACCAGCTCTTCCTCAGCATTCTCTGGATAAAACTTGGCCAGGAAGTGAAAGGTTACTGGCTCTTCCTTTGAAACATCATGGTCCAGTACCTGCAGAGTTGAACAGCAAAAGAGAAATACGCTGTCTTGGTATCACCACCAAAAAGCCTTTTGCAGGGAGTGTATGAAAATTTATCCTTTGTAAATTCATTTTGTTTCCCAGAGGTTATGATTCTATAGTTGGAAGGAATCACAAAGTCTTTTCTAAAAAGAGGTAACACTTACTTCACATGGCCTTTCAGAACCAAATTAATCAATATCCCCATGGGGTAAGTGGAGCTAAGATAATTACAACACACATGTTTTAGAGCACATAAGAAACAGTTAAAAACTAAAAACTTACAACTCAAAGGTTTTGAACACTATCTTTCATAGAAGACTGAAGGTTTTAAAATTTTATACTTAATGGAATTATCCTTTGTTTTTGTTTTTCTCTTTGCTGCCAACCTCCACACTGAGGTCCATGTTGGAATGGAGCTTAGAGACGATGAAACAGATCCTGATGAAATCATTCCAATATTAACCAAGCAACAGAAGTGAAATATGGCCATCATGACAACTCTTGATTCCAGAGATGCCCCATGGGATGCTTGGAACATAGTCAGTAACCAGTGCCTTTAATCTTCTAACAAATTCATCCACCCCCTGAAAAGCTTGAACCGTCTGCTCTCCAGAGTGCACTTTAGTTCAGGACATAAACATGCCATATGACATGCTACGAGGCTCTCATTAGCATGTGTCATCATTTATGTCCTTTGAACAGCAGGCTCCATGGCACCCGATGCTCCCAATCTAGCTCTATTTGGCCGTTACTCTTGTATGATTTAAAATCTACTTGACTGAGAATCACAAAAAGATACAGAACTTTAACACATAACACTTCATGCTCCTGCCCAAATGCCAGGTGGCAATGCCCAGGAAATGCAAACTAAACCTGATCCTAGAACACACACACAGACATTGGTACACAAAGGCATTCTGATGTTCATGATTGGGAATTCCCATTGTGAAATTTACAACCAGCATGAATTCCAACAAGGAGATCTGGATTACTGTATCCATACCTGAACACAATTTACACATCTATGTTAGAATCAAACTAATAAAAAAGGTTTTTACTGTTTATCAGGACTTGTAGTATATAATCACTTCAGGTAAGCAATTATTGCTGTTGTTGTTAAGTGCTGTAGAATTGGTTCTGACTCATAATGAACCTGCATAAGGTTTCTGAGTAGCAGCTGGTGGATTTAAACTGCCAACCTTGTGGCTCGCAGTAAAGTGCTAATCCTACGGCGCCACACCAAGAATTACAGGGGGCACCTTTTGGGCAAAGAATTAAACACTGAGATTCAGGTATCTTTCAGAAGTTACTAACAAAAGTATGTGGCTCTGCTCCCCAACTATTTTCATGATAAGGAAGGTAGGTAAGTGTGACTATGTGTGCACATATGAACCCCAGAAGAGGGCAGTTCCCTTGAGTAATATTCATTTCCAAACCACATTAGAGTGTGGGAGCCGAGACGACCCCATGTCTCAGCAGCCCCAGAGAATCCAGAGGACAAAACAGACATTCTTCCTTCCCCACAGGGATCGTAGTCTTTATTCCCTTAGATCACATTCATGATGAATTCAAGTCAGGCCATGGTGTTTCTCAAAAAGACTTAAAATTTTCTTTAAAGAACACGAGCCCCAAGAGAATTTTTTAAAGACATGTATACATATACATGTGTGGATGTGAAGGTAGCTGTAATCTTTATTAATAAATTCTGACAAGTGGTTCAATAAATCGAAGGGCACAAAATCAAAAGAAATCAGTCTGGTGACAATGGATAACTAAGCCAGGAGTGGCAGAAGCTTAATCTTGGTTAATTCTGCTTCCTTGGTTAATCCTGTAAGAAACCCGTGGCCGTTCCAGGACCTGCTTTCTGCACTACTAAATTCAGGAACGTATCCCCTTTAGAAACATGCCCACTTCTCTGTATCATCTCTTCAGACCCGGATGGTGAACAAACAAGCTAGGTGCATGCATAGGGAAATGACAGAAAAAAAACGTGCCAGCCCCACTGGTTTCATGGCATCCCAGCCCAACCTTCTTGTCCATTTTGAGCCAGGCCACGGTGTCTTTGATTGTATACTGCAGTCCAAAGAACCAGGTTTCCCGAAGCCCCAGAGTCCGACACACCAAATCAAACAGGTCCTTTCCTTTCCACTTCATCTGCAATATAACCAACAGGGAAGGACATTGTAAGCAAAAATCATAATCCCCTTTTATGAAAACATTTTCTCTACTTTCAGATTCCAAAATGCAGAGATGACATTAAAATGGCTGATAAGCACAGAATTCCTAAATAATTTTAAAGCTTCCTACACAAAACCATGAGTGGGAAAATACCAATTAGAGCTTAATGGCTTAATCACTGCAAAGCATACACAATACCTCCCTTGGACAGTTTTTTACAGATCTTAATATCCCCAAAGCTGCTAATTTAGGAAAGCTGGTAAATAAGCAAACTCATTTAGGAAAGTCGAATCTCTTGTGTTAACCCAGGGATATGGCTAGCTTCTAAGGACACTAATTGTCTTGGGATTTTGTTGTTGTTGATTTTTATTATTATGACTTTGTATTTTGATAAAAAGTTAGTGTTTTGTTGTTATTTTGTTTTCATCTAAAGGTTGGATATTCTAGAAAATTTTTTGATAGCAATACTGAGGAGGAAGCTGCAACCAAAAAGTCATAAATCATGGAGAAAAGGAACCATTAGCCCTGTCAGTCCAATTACAGATCTCTCCTACTTCAGATATGCAGTTGAAGTCAAAGGGGAAGCAACTCACCTTAGTCACATGGAGCAATTTCAAACTCTTAGTACCTACACCAAGGTAACAAATAGACACCAATATCTTGTAGAGTGTGTACCCCAGAGCCTCATTTTCAAAAGGACCTGAAGCAATGGCTGCTCAACACGTTTCTCAGTTCTTTAATCTTGGAGCCGGAACAGCAGATTCAACATCTTAATGGGGGGGGGGGGGGGGGGGGAAGAGGGGAATGAGAATGCCCAGCAGCTGGGAAAAGGTTGCCACCTTGTGGCTTCTGAGGTTAACACACACAAGATGTTGCTATACTACCCCTTAGCTGCGGTTTGAGGCCCCCACACATGGACAAATGCACACACAGACACAGTTCTGATCACATGACACATCACAGAAATGATGGTCACAGTTAGGGCCATCTTGGAATTCAGATATGAGGTCACCATATATCTGATAAGATCACTCCAATGCGGAAGCATCTATCTTCCTGCCCTTGTTACAAATTCCATCCTAAATCCAGGCACCCTGAAGAGGCATCATGACAAGAAACAGGGAACCCAAACTTCCAGTTTCAGAGACTTGTTACAAAAGCCAGAAAGAAAAAAAGGTAAGTTCGATCTCAGCTATCTCCTTAGATTTCACTAAAACCTGATTCCACAGCAACGTTTCCACCAGGCGGCCTTCTGTTTTCACAAAGCGCTCTCTTTGAAGACCCTGCCAGACTAGCCTATCCCGCCTCCTAGGTTTGCTGTCACTGTCATCAAAGCAGCCAGCTTGATGGGAGAACACCAAGTGTGTACCCATTTTGCCATTCACCGGGATCATGTCTCCTACGTGTCCTCAGCTTCAGCTTCTGTGCCCTCTCCATCACTAAAGTGGTCTACTGGAATATGACAAAGATTGAGGCCCTTTAGCAATTATTTTGAACAGAATAAAATCAAATGAAGGAATTTTATTTAAAAAAAAGATGATCTTCTTCCCACCTTTCATGAAGCTCAAGAGTGCTGGCGGCATCCCCACCTGCCCGTTACACAACAGGACAAAGGGTTTTTTCATCCAAGGCAAGTCTCAATTCCTCCAGGCAGACTTTGACTGAAGAAATGTTATTTTGGAAAACTAGAAGCTTCAGGATGCTGATTAGCCTCTTGTCTCTATTTTAAGCCAGTGAACAGTATATAAATTATAAATGACTACCTTGCTACAAGATAATGTAACGATAAAGAACAGACATTAACTTGGATAAGTCAAACAGCCAAGGGCCCAGAGGATCAAGGTAACGATTCCCAATCATATTCCCAGTCCTCCCTCACCTGCTCCGGCTGGGTAGGCAGGCTGCTGGCAGCTGGGGGCTGTCTGCGAGCCGAATGTGCAGAGCATCTAAACTAAAAGTTGCTGAGGAGCCAATTTCCTGACTTGGGAGCTTAAATTCTCAAACATAATATTCTACTAATGCACTTTTCTTGTATTCCCCTCTCTTTCTTTGTTTTTAAAATGCAAACCTGTCTTTGTTGAATGCAAAATAAATTTTGCCCCTGAGGAGCTTGCAATAAAGTGACTTGGGGTGGGGTTGGGAGAGGTTCTTACACCAATTCAGAATGCCCTACTTAGATTCAAAGAACTGTAGAAAGTCAAAGCTGGAAATGAATCTGAGTAATCAGTCACCTCCTGCAACCCTGTCACCTTTCTGTGCAAATAGAGAAACAGAGGCACAGACACTTACACTGGACTTAAGGCACTCGGCTGCTAATTCAAAAAGGTTGAGTTTCGAGTCCACCCAGAGACGCCTCAGACAAACATGTCTAGCCAGCTACTTCTGAAAAATCTGCTCCCAAGCCCTACGGAGGTACATTCTACTCTGATACACGTGGGATTGCCATGAGTCAGAATTAACCTTTTGGAAACCGGTTTGAGAAATCAAACACCCTGTCACTCAAATACCTCTTTTCTGCTCTGTGGGGTTACTTCCTCTAGCTCTCCACCAGCACTCCCAGCCACCTTCCCAGTAGAATAGCCAGCTTCTTAACACTCTTCCCCACCCTAAGATCAAGCCCATTCTCAGAAGGGCCAGTGACCACTCAGCTATAATGTAAATGAAAGCCTCTGCTACCTCTTACTTGTTCTTAAAAAAAAAAATTACTGTGTATTAATTAGGTGAAAGTTTACACAGCAAATTCGTTTCCCATTCAGCAATTCATATACAAACTGTTCCATGACACAGGTTATCACTTGCAGTCCCCATTTCAACCCTGCCTCACCACCACCACCACCCACCACCCACATTTCCAACCATCTACTTTTCTTGCCCTCCTTGCCTTCTCTCACCTTTGCTTTTGGGCAAATACTGCCCATTAATTGATTGTTCTAAGGATCACCTTCTGCATGGATGTTACTATTTTACAGGCCAATCTATGATTTGGCTAGAAGGTAATCTCTCCTAAAGTGGGTCAATATTCTCAGGGGTTCCTCTAGTTTAGTCTTTTTTATAAATTTAAGTTTGGATCTACATTTTTATCCACTAACTAAGACCTATTGTTTCCTTGCTCATAGCAATGGGTAATGGTAGCTGGTATACCATTTAGTTCTTCTGGTCTCGGTTTAGTGGAAGCTGTGCTTCTTGTTGTTCATCTGTTTTCTTAAAGTCTTTAGTTTTCTTCACTCTCCTTTGCTCTACAGATGAGGTGACAACAGTTGTATCTTAGACACCTGCAAGCTCTTAAGACCCCAGATGCTTCTCACCAAACCATTGCTGTTGTTGTTAAATGCCATGGAGTCAGTTCCAACTCATAGCAACTAACAAACATATTAAGAAATGCTTAATTATCCATTGGAGTCCTGGTGTGATGTTGTGGGATTAAGCACCAGACCGCTACATTGATCTCAACTACAAGGTGGTAGTTAAACCCAACAGTCAATCTTCAGAAACCCTATTCAAGGTTGCTATGAGTCAGAAATGACTGCATGACACTTAACATAATATAGCATAACAACAAATTAGCCATTGCTTTTGTTGTTAAGTGGCACTGAGTTGGTTCCAACTCATAACAACCCTGTGTAGGATTTCTGAGGGTTTGAACTGCTGAGCTCTGGTTCACAGTCCAGTGCTGATCCTGCAGCACCTCACCAAGAGTCCTAATGTAAATCAAAACAACAATGAAGTATAATCTTATTCCAATATTAATAGCAAAGTTCCAAAACACAGAAAACAATAAATACAATAAATAAAGGTGTGGAGAGACTGGGACCTCCTACACTGCTGTAAAATGGTGCAATCACTGTGGAAAAAGGTATGGCGTGTTCTCAACAAGTTGGAACTAGAACTACTTACTGTATGACCCAACAATCCCTCTATTTAGTATATATTCTCAAGAAATAAGGGCTGTGACCCTAGATATATGCATACCCATATTCTTTGCAGCCTTATTCACAATAGCAAAACCATGGCGACAGCCTAAATGCCCATCAACAGAAGAATGGTTAAACAAACTTTAATATATATACACAATGGAATATTACTCAAGAATAAGGAAGAATCTGCAAAACACTTCACAGCAACAGTATGCGGAGCGAAATTAAGTCAATCACAAAAGGGCAAATACTGTATGAGACCACTGTTGTAAAAAGTTAAGAAAAGATTTTCCTGCTAAATGAAATATTCTATGATGGTTACAGGGTGGGTAGGGAGAGACAGGGAAAAAAACAAGAGTGAATAGAGGTAAATACTGTTAACTTACAGCACATAGAATGGATTGCAACCATTATAATGACACAAAGTATATAATTTGTTGAATGTGGGACTAATGATCTGTTCTGTAAACCTTGACTCAATTTACAATAAAAAGTTAATTAAACAAAAAGAAAAGAATACTTTCTTTGGAGCAAGCAATGTTGGGCACATATAAAATGGTATGAGCACAGTTCCTGGAGAAAACACAGGCAAGGACCGAGGCCAGAGAAGGTTTTCATGAACAAATGAGAGTTAGTTGAAGGAGACATTAAAAATAAGTATTTAAAAAAAAAATTCATTTTTTTTTTTCAGCAGGAAACAGCAAATCTTATGGTAGAGCTCCAACAGCCTGAAAGCCACTTGTCTTCTCTGAAGACTCCTAGGCAGAAGATGGATAGGATAAGACCCTACAATTTGGAATGGTTTCAGATGACAGAGTGGAGACTGGGTTGGAGGAAGGGAGCTTAGAAAAAAAGACCATAAAAAAAGATCCGCTCTACTGGTAGCGCAGTGGTTACGAATCGGGCTGCGAGCCGCAAGGTCAGCAGTTCGAAACTACCAACAGTTCCGCAGGAGAAAGGTGAGGTGGTCTGCTCCCGTAAAGATGTACAGCCTTGGAAACCCTGTACAGGGTCGCTATGAGTTGGAACCCACTCCATGGCACACAACAACAACAACAACAA